TAAATTTCATCCTAAGCCCATCTGGAATCCTAGAAACAGTCATGAACTAGACAGCGTCTGTCCATAACTCAATACATGAAGAGACCAAAAGAATTATTCAGGGCTGGCCTTGTAGCACGGAGGTTAAATGCTGTGCATAGGCAGCCAGATCCTACCTGGCTACTAAGGTTCAAATCCTGGCCATAGCTGTTCAAAAAAATATCAGGCACGTATGCGTGCATGCCCAAGATTCAGATGGGATGGACAAACGGAGGAACAGGGTTCCAGCATGACGGTGCCTCATTGGAAGGTGCTTGCTCTCCCTCTCCCTCTCTCTGGCTAACACACATGCACTCTGGCAATAAAAAAATAAAAGAATAAGTCAAATGACTCTTTCAGAAAGTACCACACACACTCTGCCCCCAAGATCAGTTTTAAATAAAGGGAAATAGAGCTGGCCCTATGGCCTGGTGGTTAAGGAAGTCGGGATCCCTCATGGCTGATCGTGCTGTTCAGATACTAGCTCCATTGGCTTAAAAAACATACCAGGCGTGTGTGCATGTGTGCCCCAAATCCCCACAGGATAGAGAAAAGGAGAAAGGGTTGTGGTGTGACCATGACCCATTAGAGGGTGCTTTCTCCCTCCCCCTGTCTCTCCTGTCTCTCTCTCATCTCTCTCTGATATGTGCCCTCTGGCAAATAAAAAACCAAAAGGAGATGCATTCTGAGTTTGGACTGAGACGATGCTCCTGACCACCTTCACCGAGGGCTGCACTCCGAGATGGGCGTTCAAAGCACAATGCCTGGCCTGTCACGGGCCCCGGTCGGTGCTTGGCCCAAGGGCCAGAGGAGCGGGCTTACCTCCTGGAGCTAAGCTGCCCAGATGCTTGCCCCTGGTCCCTTGAATGTCTCTCTATTCACTTGGAAGGGTGTTGGGTGAGATTAAAAGACTCAAAGGGCCCTGAATACATTGCCCTAACTACTCACGTACCCACACAGAAGTCTCCTCACCCCAACCAGCGTTTCCAAAACACCCCATGAAGACCACTGGGCAACCAAGAGAAAGGACGGCCACTGACCTGATAGGTCCATTTTCCTCCTTGGCTTTCCTGAGTCTGAGGCGTGGTAGAGGGCCTCCATGCACTGTGAAATGTTCTACTTCAGGGAGGGGAGGCTCTGAGCACATGTTGAAAAGAAGAAAAGGGGATGATCAGAATAAGGAAAAGTATAAACAAAGTGGTCCTTGTGGGGGCCATTCAAAGGAATTTTTTTTTTCTTGGAGAGGTTTTTGCTACAGGGTGCATGCGCTTGCCAGAGAGACAGAGAGACAGAGAGACAGAAAGCGAGAAATCACCCCCCAGGGGGAATGGCCATGCCACAATCCCTTCTCCTCCATTCTCCTCTCAGGATCTTGGGCACGCACACACACGCGCCCAGCAGGAGTTTAAGCCACCAGGTCCAGGACTTGAACTGTGGTTGACTACATGGGAGTTCAGCAACATAGCCATTACGCTAACTGCTGGTCCCTAAAAGGAAAATTTTAAGGTAAGAAATGATGAGCATAATCTGATACATGCTATACAATGGATGAAACTTTTAAATATTATGCCAAGTAAAAAAGCCAGACCTGAAAGGACAAATGTTCTATGCTTCTACTTATACAAGGGTACTTCAAAATGTTCGTGAAAAAAATAGAGTGAAAATACAAATTTCTTCTTTTATTTTTTAGAGAGAGATTTTTGCTATAAGGTGTATGTGCTCGTTGGAGACAGAGAGACAGAAAGCGAGAAATCACTGCCCCCTGCGAGGGGGCGGGGAGGATGGCCACGCCAGAATCCCTTATCCTCCATTCCCCTCTTGGAATTTTGGACAAGTCCAGTGTGAGTCTCAAGCCACTGGGTCCAGGATTCAAAACACAGTCGCCCATTTGGGAGTCCAGCAGAAAATCCAAGTATTATAGTGCAAAAAAAAT